TAAATATAATACTTAAGAACTATTACAATACTTAAATAATACTTAAAAGGCTATATATAAATATAATAAATAAATTTATAAAACTTATAGTAAATAGAATAGTTAAAAGATAATAAATACTACTAAATATTAACTAATAGTATATTAAAAATAAAAGTAAATAATTATAAAGTATAAATAAAGTAATATAAAAATTAAATAAATATATTAAAGCTTATAAGCTATTATCTTAATATTAAAAAAAGGAATATTATATTTATAAGTAAATATTAAGAGAACTAAAAAAGTAAAAAAAAAGCTTTTATTTAAATAGTTTTAAAAATAAAATTAATATTATAGCTATAATAACTAAATAGGGAACTATTAATAAGAGGCTTAAGAGTAACTAATTTCTCTTTATTATTATTATTTTACTTTTTTTCTTTTTTATTTTTCTCTTTAACTTTTTCTTCTTTTTTTTCCTCCTCTTTATTAAAAGAGATAAAAATAGCTTTTTTATTTTTATTTTTATTTTTATTTTTATTTTTAGTTTTATTTTAAATAGGCTTCTTAATAAGCTTTTTAGGAAAAGCTTTTATATTATTTTTAGTCTTCCTTTCTATTAAGCTATTAGTAGTTATATAGAGAGTAATATATTTTTTAAAAGTAATAATAATAAAAGAGCTATAGTTAATAAAATAAGCCTTAAGAATAAGAAAAGAATAATAAGAAATATTATTAAATATATATTTAATAAGTAAATAGTAAAAGTTATTAACCTTATTAATAAATTTAATTAATTTACTATTATAAAGCTAATTAAATATAAGCTAATTATATAGTATATTATAAAGCTTATTTCTAAAGATAAACTACTACCTAGCTCTAAATAAGGTTTATAGTAGTTTCTTAATATAAGGTTCTATAATATATTTATTATAATAATAGCACTTTAGCTTATACTATCTCCTAATAAAATAAATAGATATAATTTATAATTAAACTAATATTAATATATTTAGTTTAGCTAAGGTTTTTAAGTATATATATTATTTATAAAAGCTATAGGAAAAGTAGGGGGGGGGGAGTAAATAGTAAGCTTAATTACTAATAGGTAATAATAGTAGCTTAAACCTATTATAAAGGTATTAAACTTTTTAGTTATAAATCCCTCTTTATAATACCCTTAAGGTCCTTTAGCTAGAATAATATCTCTATTATATTATTAAGTAGGCCTATAAAGCTAGCTATCTTAAGCTAGAGGCTTATTTCTTCTCTTTCTTTATTACTATATTTAAATCCTTTTTTTAAGATATTATTTAATATACCTCTTAATAAGTATAATAAAGTAAAGGCTTTAGCTATTAAGAATAATATTTAGAACTTAAGCTCTAAATATAAAGACTTAGAGACCTTAGCTAAAAAGAAAACTCTTATAAAATTTACCTTTAATTATAAAAAGCTTTTAGGGCTAGTTTTATATTTTTTAGGGTAATTAAATAATTTAAAAGTTAAAAAAGTTAAAGTAGAGCTATTTATATAAATTAATAGTAATTTATTTACTTATAAGTATCTTATAGACTTCCTCTAAATAGCTATAGATCTAAAGCTTAAAGTAATTAAGAATCTATAAGTTAAGCCTATTTAAATAATTAAATATAGCTAATAATAAGTAATAAAACTATAATAGCTTTATTAAATAGTAATAGTAATAGTAATAAGTAAAGAGTTTTCTATAAATAAACTTAAAAAGCTTAATATCTAATAGTAGTATAATAGCGTAATAATATAGTAGGGTACTAGCTTAGTAGCCTTAGGGCTAATTATCCTTATTAGTAGATAGCTAGGAGGAGTAGCTTAGAGGAAGAGTATTAAAGCGTTAGATATATCTTAATAAAAAATCTATTATTATTATTATTATTATTATAATAGGGGAAGTTAAGGCGTAAAGTAATAAACTAGTAGCTAAAGTAGAAGCTTAAGCTTATATATAGGGTCTATAAGTTATATAGCTAAATAGCTATTAGTTAGTTAATAAGCTAGACTAAACCTATAGTAAGTTAAATATATAGTTTAAATTATAATATAGTGCCTAAAGGTATAAAGCTTATTTATAATATTAATTAAGAGGGTAATAAAATTATTATTATATAGGTATATATAGTAAATAGACTTAAAGTAGTTAATAATTTTATATTCTTTTTAAAGTATATTAACTTAAATATAAAAAGTAATAAAAATAAAAAAATAAACTATTAAAAAGTAATTAAAAAATATTTATATTAATTAAGATATTAATAAAAAAGTACTTATAAATAGAGAATAGCTTTTAAAGCTAAATCTAATTTATATTTTAAAAGCTACTATTAATAATAAGATTATAAATAAAAATAGTAACTTTATATTAGATAGTTATATATTTAGTTATTTAATACTTATAGTAGTAATACTTAATAATACTAAGAGAGCTAGCTTTATTTTATTTATAGATATTATAAAATATAATTTAAAATACTTAAATAATACTATAAAGCTTATAAAAAACTTATAATTAAATTAGAAATAGTTTATTAATGGCTTAATAGAGATAAAATAAAAGAACCTATATTAAGGTATTTATATTTATAAAGATTATAGAGAATATATTTTACTATATAAATATTAATAATATAATAAAAATAGAGGATATCTAAATATATAGATATTAAATAATAAAGATAGGAGTAATTACTATTAGTATTATTAATAAAATTATTAAAGAGGAAAAAGAAATTATAAAGGTATTTATTAAGAATAATATATATATAAATAAGATATAATATCTTAATAAGAAATAAATAGAGACCTATTAATAAAATAGGAAATAAAAAAAGAAATATAAAAAAATAAAATAGGATATATAAGTTTTAATCTTTATAATAGCTAAATAGAGGAAACTTTTTTATAATAAAGCTATAAAAAGAAAAAGCTTTTTTATAAATTAAATAAATATATATTAAAAAGAGTATAATAATATATTAAATATATAAAAATAAAAAAAAGGTCTTATTAATTAATTATTATATAAGAAACTTTTTTCGAAAAAACCTTATAAAAAGAATAAAAGTTTTATATTCTTTTAAATATATTTATATAATTTAAAAATATAATAATTAGAAGTAATAATAATATTAAATATATACTATATAACTAATAAAGTTATTTTTAATATTATATTAATAATAACAAAGCTCTAAATATAAAGAGCTAAAATAGAGATATTAATATAAATTAATAATAATTATATACTTTAAGAACTAAAGCGCTAGAAGAGAAGAGTAATTATAAAGATTTAGATCCCCTTAGCTAGTTTAGCTAATTAAAATAAATTATTAGTAAATAGTTAGTAAAATAAGATCTATACCTTATAGAAAACTCTATATAGAGGGATTTTATACTCTTAAGATCTCTAAGCTTTAGTTAATATACTATTTAACCTTTATATTATAACTCTTAAATTAACTTAATTAGGCCTTTAGCCTAACTTTTTTAACTTTTTTAACTTTTAAATTATTTAATTATTCTAAAAAATATAAAATAAGTTTTAAAAGTAATTTATAGTTAAAGATAAATTTTATAAAAGTTTTCTTTTTAGCTAAAGTCTCTAAGTCTTTATATTTAATATTTAGGTTCTAAATATTATATTTAATAGCTAAAGCCTTTATATTACTATATTTATTAAAAAGTATATTAAATAATATCTTATTAAATAATATTTTAAAGAAAAGATTTAAATATAGTAATAAAAAAGAATTATAAAAAGATAAAGAATAAGCCTCTAATTTAAAATAGCTAGCTTTATAGGCCTACTTAATACTATAATAGAAATACTATATTAGCTAAAAGACTTTAAAGGTATTAAGGGATTTATAACTAAAAAGTTTAATACTTTTATAATAAGCTTAAACTATTATTATTACTTATTAATAATTAAGCTTACTATTTATTCTCTCTCTACTTTTTCTATAGCTTTTATAAATAATATATATACTTAAAAACCTTAGTTAAATTAAGTATATTAATATTAATTTAATTATAAATTATATTTATTTATTTTATTAAGAGATAGTATAGGCTAAAGTATTACTATTATAATAAATATATTATATAACCTTATATTAAGAAACTACTATAAAGCTTATTTAAAGCTAGGCACTAGTTTATCTTTATACTTAATAAGTAGTTAGCTCTAGTAGTATAGACCTATAATATATATATACCTATATACCTATATACGCGCGCGTAACTATATACTCACTACTATAATATATATAATATACCCTCCCTCTAAGTATAAATAGGCACTTAGATAGGTAAATTTATTATGTTTCTATTAAAGCTATTATAATTTAATTAGGTAGTATTAAATAGCTATAGCTATAACTATTTATAAATTTTAATTAATTTTAATTTATTTTCAAAGGTTTAAAATATATATTTCTAGCCCTACTATTAGCTATATTACTATTTATATATATAGCTTTAACTAAAGTAAGAGTTTAAACTACTAATTTATTTACTTTTTAAATTTATACTATAAATATTAATATAATTAATAATATTATTATTATTTATTATTATTATTTCTTATTTATATAGTAAACTATATAAGCTACTACTAATAGTATATTATAATTAAATACTAATTAATACTACTAGGACTGCCTTTACTATATTGCGCTAAGATGTACGGAAAGGGAGGGGAGGTGGGGGGGCGGGGGCGCGTGTAGAAAGTGGGTGAGCTAACTTAGTACTTACTCCAATGCTCATTGCGTAGGAAAAAAAAATTGAGGAGTCACACCCTTTAGAGCTCCGGTTCAGGCGCAGATTGCAAATGCCCCTCCCTCCCCCCATTAGATTCCCCAGAAAAAAACACCACAACACTGTCACTCCGTTTCGCCTCGCTTCCTCGCGAAGGATCTACGACGACGATTTCGATGCGCAAAAACTCAGCATAAACACAATTACACTCGCTCTTGATCATGGTATTGGTCAATGGCTCGGGTCCGGGCTCAGGTCCTACGCGGATCACAATCTTGGGCAAGGACGACATTGTCGTTGACCATGGTATCTGGCTTGACTTTGTGACTCATGACCTACTCCAGAACCTCAAGACGTCGACTTATGTCCTGATCACCGACACGAATCTCTTCGATACCTACGTCCCTCCGTTCGAGAAGGTGTTCAATGACGCTGCGCCCGCGACGACACGTCTGCTCACCTACGCCATCCCGCCGGGCGAGGTCTCCAAGAGCCGACACACGAAGGCGGCCATTGAGGACTGGATGCTGTCGCAAAAATGTACCCGGGATACCGTCATTATTGCGCTCGGTGGAGGGGTTATTGGCGACATGATCGGCTATGTTGCTGCCACCTTCATGCGAGGCATTCGCTTCGTCCAGGTACCGACGACGTTGCTTTCCATGGTTGACTCATCCATTGGCGGCAAGACAGCGATTGACACGCCGATGGGGAAAAACCTCATTGGGGCTTTCTGGCAACCTCTCCGAATCTACATTGACCTAGCTTTCCTCGAGACACTGCCTAGGCGCGAGTTCATCAACGGAATGGCCGAGGTTATCAAGACTGCCGCAATCTGGGACGAGGACGAGTTCACCGCCCTCGAGACCAACGCTTCCGCTATTCTGGCTGCAATCAAGTCTGACGGGGAGCCACTCCAAAGATTGTCTCCGATTCGCGATATCCTCAAGCGGATAGTCCTCGGCTCCGCACGGGTGAAGGCCCAAGTAGTCTCTAGTGACGAGAGGGAAGGTGGGCTTCGCAACTTACTCAACTTTGGTCACTCCATTGGACACGCTTTCGAGGCACTTCTCACTCCTCAACTTCTGCACGGCGAGGCTGTCGCCATTGGGATGGTCAAGGAGGCGGAGCTTGCCCGCTACCTTGGCATTCTCCGACCCGGAGCAGTGGCCCGCCTTGTCAAGTGCATCGCCAGCTACGATCTGCCCACTACATTGCATGACAAGCGGGTTGTCAAGTTGACGGCGGGCAAGAAATGCCCTGTTGACGTTCTTTTGGACAAGATGGCCGTGGACAAAAAGAATGACGGCACCAAGAAAAAGATTGTGCTCCTCTCGGCAATTGGGAAGACATACGAGCAAAAAGCTAGCGTGGTTGAGGATCGCGCAATTAGAGTCGTTCTGTCGCCTGCGACTCAAGTTTTCCCCGGCGTACCCCAGGCTCACAGCACGACGGTGACACCTCCAGGGTCCAAGAGCATTTCAAATCGTGCGCTTGTCCTGGCTGCCTTGGGCCAGGGAACTTGCCGAATCAAGAATCTGCTGCACTCTGATGATACCGAGTACATGCTGTCGGCTCTTTCGAAGCTGGGAGGCGCGACCTACGCCTGGGAAGAGGCTGGCGAAGTCCTCGCTGTCGAGGGTAAGGGTGGGAAGCTCAACGCTAGCAAGGACGCATTGTATCTTGGCAACGCTGGCACCGCTTCCCGCTTTTTGACTACCGTCGTGGCCTTGTGCGCCCCTTCCGACGTCTCGTCGACGGTATTGACAGGGAACGCCCGCATGAAGGTCCGTCCCATCGGACCTCTTGTTGACGCCCTCAGAGCCAACGGTCTGAGTATTAAGTACCTGGGCCAGGAGAAGAGTCTGCCTCTGCAAGTCGATGCCGCCGCCGGGTTCGAGGGCGGCCTCATCGAACTAGCGGCAACCATTTCGTCTCAGTATGTTTCTTCCATCCTGATGGCTGCTCCATACGCCAAGAAACCCGTCACGCTGCGCCTCGTGGGTGGAAAGCCTATTTCACAACCTTACATCGACATGACCATCTCGATGATGCGCACTTTTGGTGTCGACGTGACGAGATCCAGCGATGAGCCCAACACCTACCATATTCCCAAAGCCGTTTACCAAAACCCGGCCGAGTATGTCGTCGAGAGCGATGCCAGCTCCGCAACTTACCCTCTAGCTATTGCTGCCATCACCGGAACGACCTGCACCGTGCCCAATATTGGCTCTGAGTCCCTCCAGGGAGATTCTCGTTTCGCCGTTGATGTCCTGAGACCCATGGGCTGCACTGTCGAGCAGACGGGCACTTCTACGACCGTCACTGGGCCAGTTATTGGCAGCCTAAAGGCCATCGAGCACGTCGACATGGAGCCCATGACGGACGCCTTCCTCACAGCGTCCGTTCTGGCAGCCGTGGCTTCAGGAACGACCAAGATCAGTGGTATCGCCAACCAGAGAGTCAAGGAATGCAACCGCATCGGCGCCATGCGCGAGCAACTCGCCAAATTCGGTGTCGAGACCGACGAATTTGATGACGGAATCATCGTCACTGGACGTCCGTACCAAAACCTTCAACAGCCTGCCGAAGGTGTGTTCTGCTACGACGACCACCGTGTAGCGATGAGCTTCAGTGTGTTGTCAACTATATCGCCGAAGCCGGTCACGATCCTCGAAAGGGAATGTACTGGAAAGACATGGCCTGGCTGGTGGGACACCATGGCGCAGTTGTTCGACATCGAGCTGGACGGCGTCGACCAGCATCCCGACACGGTGCATTCAGCACCTCGCAAATCCCGCAAGAATAAATCCGTCTTCGTGATCGGCATGCGTGGGGCTGGTAAGACGACTGCAGGGAGGTGGATGGCAGACACGTTACAGCGTCCCTTCATCGACCTAGACGAGGAGCTGGAGCGTCGGGCTGGTATGACTATTCCTGAGATGATCAGAGGCTCAAGAGGTTGGGAAGGTTTCAGAAAAGATGAGGTGGATCTCCTTCGAGACGTTATGGAGAAGCAGAGCGATGGCCACATCTTTTCGTGTGGTGGAGGCATCGTCGAAACGCCTGAGGCTCGCAGACTTCTGACTGCCTACTGCGACAATAACGGCAGCGTCTTGCTTGTTCATCGCAACACCAAAGAGGTCGTTGACTACCTGCTCCAGGATAAGACAAGACCGGCCTACCGAGAGGATATCGAAGAAGTCTACTACCGTCGCAAACCATTCTTCGAGGAATGCAGCAACTTCGAGTACTTCAGTCCTCATCCTCCTGGCACAGCAGCGACCCGTGAACCACCATTGGACTTCCGCCGCTTCGTTAACGCCTTATTCGGCGAGAACATTCAAGTGACCAAAGCGCTGTCCAAGAATCCTAGCTTCTTCGTGTCGCTCACCGTGTCGGAAGTTGCGTCGGCTTTATCTCTGATACCAGCCGTTGTTGTAGGCTCGGATGCGGTCGAGCTTCGCGTGGACTTGCTGCAAGATTATTCACCAGAGTTTGTGGCTCATCAAGTGGCTCTTCTGAGATCTGTCGCGGACGTCCCCATCATCTTTACGTTGCGGACAAAGGCTCAAGGAGGCAAATTCCCTGATGACGCCTACGACCAAGCTCTTAGCCTCTATCAAAAGGCCATTCGCATGGGCGTCGAGTTCATCGACGTAGAGATGACGCTTCCGGAGAGCATGATCCAGGCCGTGGTGGACAATAAGGGACGATCCCGTATCATCGCCTCTCACCACGACCCGCAAGGAAACCTCTCTTGGAGCAATGGTTCCTGGACGCCGTTTTACAACAAGGCATTGCAATATGGAGACGTTATCAAACTCGTCGGCGTTGCCCGTCGCATTGAGGACAACTACGACTTGGCCCGCTTCAAATCCGAGATGCTCGCATCTCACAGCACCCCGATCATTGCGCTCAATATGGGGGCCGCGGGTAAGCTGAGTCGCGTTCTCAACGGCTGCCTTACACCGGTAGCTCACCCCGCCCTGCCCTTCAAAGCAGCTCCAGGCCAGTTGTCAGCTGCTGAAATACGGCAAGCACTGTCTCTCCTCGGTACGATCGATCCGAAGTCCTTCTACCTCTTTGGCAAGCCCATTTCGGCATCGCGGTCGCCCGCTCTGCACAACGGTCTTTTCGAGTTGGTTGGGTTGCCGCACAAATACTGTCGCAAGGAGACTGATGTGGCGGCTGACGTCCGCGAGATCATCCGAGCTCCAGACTTCGGTGGCGCCTCTGTCACAATCCCTCTGAAGCTCGACATCATGAAGGAGCTTGACGATATTTCGGAGGCTGCTCGCGTCCTCGGGGCTGTCAACACCATTATCCCCGTGCGCACCGATGACGGTAATACCAAGCTGCTTGGCGAGAACACGGACTGGTTGGGCATGGTCCATGCTCTGCAGTCAGTGGGAACGGCGTCTCGCTCCCCTTCAGGTGTCCCAAATGCCGCCATGGTCATTGGTTCGGGAGGAACGACAAGAGCTGCTATCTTCGCCCTCCATTCACTGGGCTTCGGACCCATCTACGCGCTTGCTCGCAATACTAGCGGACTCGAGTCGCTCAAGGCCTCGTTCCCCCCTGAGTTCCCCATCGAGGCGCTCAAGAACGCTGACCAAGTGTCCACGCTGGCAGTTCCTCCGACTGTCATTGTCAGCACGATTCCCGCGGACAAACCCATCGACCCTTCACTACGGGAAACGCTCATGGCGGTACTCCGTCGAGAGATCGAGACTGAAGGACCCCGGGTCCTTCTCGAGATGGCTTATCAGCCCCGTCATACTCCGCTGATGCAACTCGCTGAAGATGCCGGATGGGCGACCATCCCCGGCTTGGAGGTTCTCGCCGCCCAGGGTTGGTATCAGGTAAGTGTCCCTATTGGTCAAAAAGGTACGAGAGTGAACGAAATGATTGACACGATTTCGCATGTAGTTCCAAAAATGGACGGACATCATCCCTCAGTATCGGACCGCTCGCGAAGCTGTGCTAGGCGACGAGGCCGCAGAAAACATCGTTCCTAAGGCATAAGCATGACGGAAAAAGGGATGGATTAGGAAAAAGTGGGCGCCTGTTCGTTCTTGTTGGTGGTTCCAGAATCGTCCTGTTCTCGTCTTCCCGCCTTGCTCTGCCAGGTGGGGCAGGCTACCTGACGGTGCCGACAGAGGCAGAGCTACATGCCAGCGGTATTCGCAGTGACAACAATCTGCAATAGACATATCTGGGCTGAGAACCCGCAATTTGCGTGATCTGATTGGCATAAATGACAGTGTCTCTTCTCGTTTCTGGTGTGCATGTCAACAGTAGCCCGCCTCGGAGTACGGTAACGTCTTGTTAACATGGCGAGCATGGTCCGCATCCGAACCGGGTGATGAGCACCCACCCCTGTACTTTGGAAGGAGCGAATTATTTGCTCCCCGCAATTCTGACGTTGATCTGGGCAAAGTCGACGTTTTTCATCCGGGACAGGTGAGGCCAACTTCGCAACGACCTGGCACCGTTCGCGAAATTACTGAATTAGCGCATCGGGTTCCATATCCCCATTCACTGTGTGTTCGCTGTTGATTCCATGTTGGAGGTACGACCACTGATTGAGTTTTCGAAACTCATTCTCTGTGCACGCTTAAGCGAAGCAAAAGATAGGTGGCAGCAGGCTCAAATGTCGCAACATAGACATAGCCTGAAGGAGTGAATTGTACAAGATTAGCTATTCTATCTATACCCGCCCATTTCATCTTCCGTCATCAAATCGTTAGTTCCAAGCAGCAGACTATGTCGCTGTCCCACATCCGACCCTCGCAGTTCTTTTGTCTAATCCCATGTAGTGATATGCACTAGTGTATAGTATACAACCGTCCCAGGCGATGACGCATTAACCAGGGAAAGAAAGACGCATCAAGAAAGGAAAAACGCCGGCTACTGTACAAAATCAAGTCTCATTCCAACACATACCCAACTAACCACCATGTGTGGGCGCGCCGGATTGACCACCCGGTGCCGGAGTATCAGGAGGCTGGAAGCGACGGGTAGTGCTCCACCATCCGCCCAGTTACCTGATACCGAGTGCCGATAGCTGCGGATGAACGGCTGACGAGGTGACGACCCGAGATTGTCCAGCCCCAACCAACGCCGACAAGCTAAATTGCGGTTGAACACATCCCGTCGCGCTGAAGTGGGTGGAAGTGGCAGCGTCCATCCCATCTCATTTCCCTACCACATGAGACAGTTGATCATGGGCGGGGGCGACTTGTGTGCCAAGACTGATGATGATGTCGTCAGGCGGAATTGAGAAGGTCGGAATGGTAAAGTTCGCATGGATGGTCGCAAGACAGGACGGGATGAATGATGTCATTGTGGATCGCATCGATCGTCAGGGTCGCGCAGCACGGACCACAATGATGTCATACCGCACGACCCTTACTGCAGCATCGAGGACCCTGAATCTCCACCCCATTCCCCGCACCCCCGCTCGAAGCTTCTTCGACCAGGTTCGAAAGTACCACTTCCCAACTCCTCTTGACGGCAGCGGATTGGTCGCAGCGTGATCGACGTCCTCTCCTCCTCCCTCTCATGCTTTATGACGCTCTGTCGTGCAGCCACCAAGCTTATGCGACTCGACAATTCGGTTCTGCGGTACTGTTGCCCGACGTCATCGTCATCCCCCTGCCTCTCCCGCCGTAACCAACTTCTTTTTTGGCAGGGTGCGAGCTACGACATCGCCGATCCGTGAGTTTCGTGCGCGAAAGCATTGAGAATTCTACGCGTTGTGCCCACGGCGGCGGTGTTTCCCCTGGAACTCGACGTCGGGATGGCAGACGCGGTAGTGTCGTGTGAGTGCATCCGCGCGGCTGAAGGTCTTTTCCTCGGTGCACAGATTGCAGCGAACCTTTTGCTTCCGAGCGTTGTGAATAGTGTCCTCATGCCTGGTAAGATCGTAAGGGCGGGAGAAGATGGTGTGACACGGCTTGCCAGTGCTGGGGTTGATTCGATCGCATCGATGAGGGCCTGCCTGACTATTCAAGAGACTGTTCGGGGAGGACGATACGCCGGCATCGCTTCTTCTGGGACCGCTGATGGTCTGAGTCTGGCGATGACCCTCCCTCTTGTGCTTTTGCAAGAGGGCTGGGGTCTCAAATCTCAGAGTACATCCGTGATATGTGCAAGTGTATGTTCCGCTATCCGCAGCGGTCCCGGCAGGCTTCGAGATGGGCAATCCGTGAGAACTTGGAGTCCCCTCCGACATGCCCGAACTAGACTCGGCGGAGCTGAGTCGAGGCAACTGTTCGTGCGCCTGACGAGGTTGTGCAATGAATGGATATTGCTGGGGAATCTGTACACCATTGGAAAGCGGCGTGGGCATGTACTGAAATGCAGCCGCGTTGGGCACAGGCGTCCTGCCAAATCCATTGTTTGATTCTTGAGACACGACGGCCTTGGCAAGATCATCGAAGTCGGTCGAATCCTGGGAGGGGAACAAGGGGAACTGGTCCGCGTCGGCATCATGAAATTCGAGATTGACATCCTTCGGAGAGATCGTCTTCGGAGTTTCGGGCTCGTTCTTCAGAGTCATTTGCTGCCTGAACTGAGCCTCGTGTTCAGCCTTCTTCTGCTCTCTGATCTGATGAGCCGAGGGAAAGCGGAGCTGCGGGTTGCGGGTACCGTTACCAAAATCATGATTGGTAACGGGCGCTAGCGGTGAGCCTTGGCGGAAAGGCGAGCGATCTCGTGACACAGTAGACGATGGTGACTGAGCAGCGCTCAGGTGCTGGTTGTTGGCAGCGCTCAATCTCTGGGCAAAGACATCGTTGCTGGGAGAGACAGCCATTTGGCTCTGGGCTGGAGATGCGGAAGTAATGGTAAAATTTGGGCTGTAGAGTTCGTCGTTGTAGATATCCGTCATTGTGCGATCCAACTTGGGCACATTGCTGAACACTGAATCATCAGAACATGGTAAGCGGCTGCTCAACAATTCATCGAAATCGACAGGATTATGCTTACCAGCTTTCCTTCTCCTGTCATCTTCGTGTTCGCCCACGGACGGCGTGGCCGGTGAGTCACCAGCGACAGAACTTGCCACCGATGGTGGGTGCGACCTGCTGCCTGCCATGGAGAGCTCGGGGGCAGGGAGTAGACCTGTGCGGTCAGACCTCGGCCTCTGAACGTTTAGCGCTGAGGTGTAGCCGCCGATGTCCGCGGGTATACTGCTCAGTCCGTTGTAATTCGGGTACATGCTGTCATGAGTAGGCATGGATTTGGCCAGCTGGTAGAAGTTTCCATCGTGAGCCTGCATGTCGTAAATGCCGTCGGGGGCTGAATCGGTAACCGCGATCTGAGGGTTTGATGTATTGTGATTGAATGGGGAGGCGGGACCGGCAGAGCCCAGAGAGGACAAGGAGGATTCTCTTTGGTGTGGAAGCCGGCCGACCGGCTTGTTATTGAAGTTGTTCCCCAAGGCCCAAGCGGTCTCTGACGACATCAGGTCTTGCGGTAACTGGTTTAGGTTACTGAATGTCAAGGACGTGTCGTCAAATGATGTGGCTGCAGGCGCTGCTCTTCGGGGTACAGCCAAGTGCGAAGAGTCGAAGGTGGTGAATGCGCTGGGTTGAGATGCAAGAGAGTAATGTTGAGAAAGGAGCGACTGAGTCGAGAGGGGGGAGGAAGAAATACTCGATGCGCTGATATCGTTTGGAGCGTCGTCGAGGTCGAAGTCGAGGGTGTGGTTGTTATAGAAGTTCTGGTGCTGGTGCTGGTACTGCTGCCGAGAAGGTGGCTGGTTGCTGTAGATAGTTTGTTGCTGGAGAGGTTGCACAGTTGCAGGTCGGTTTAACAGCATGGTGTGTTGTTGAGAAAGATAATATAGGTTTGGTGATGAAAAAGGATCCAAAGGTGGCAAACTGTGGAGGGACGGCGGCTTATATGGAAGTGGTGGAAGGCAGTAGTGGGAGGTTCACAGCCTACGTATTGGGCTTGGGGGTGGGCTTGTAGGGGACTGGGAATGAGGTAAGGCCGTCGGGGTACGTATCGTGTGTGGAATTGGCGGCAGGGTTCAGGGCATCTCAGTGTCCGCTGGGCTTAGAAAGAGACAGGGTTCAGTGGCAGTACGTACCGGTCGCACTTGCTTGCAAAGCGGAGCGGAGGTACCGGCTGGAGTCCCGAGGCTTGGACTGATGGCCGAAGATGGTCCACTTCAGGAGAGCAGGGGTAAAGCGATCGGGACCAGTTGAGGGTGTGTGGATGATGCATTGCAGAATGACGGGAGGTAGGGGTACGGTTTTTCCCCCCCCCCCCTCCTCGGTCTCTCTCCTCCCCCCCAATCCTTCCGTCACGAATGGATTGATTAATGACCAACGCTCATTGTTTGGTTTGGCTTGGAAAGTCGGGGAACAACCCCAAGACCGAGGACGGCCCAACCTGTTTCTGACTCTCCGGCTATGTCAAGCGCACATAATAGAGTGTGTGGTAAGGATGTGTGATGTTTAATAATGCGTGACGCCGTGGTCTCCCACATTTTCTCCGAGTTCTTGCGTCAACAGTCTTTGCGCCCCGAAAGTGAGAGTGAGCTTGTTCGTTGTTTGAGTCACTACCAGCTGGAGACGACGGGAACTGTAGGTGTCTTCTGTTACCGAGCCTTAGGTTCCCGTTCAGAATGGCGCCGGCGATTTCAGCAGCTGATAGATAGTACAATGGAGAAACTGTCAGCAGGTTGTCACTGCAGTTTTCTCGAAAGCTCCACCAGATTCTCTGCCCCGTTTAGTAGTTGTCGTTGGGGACTGGAGGTAATATGTCAACGACTCATTACGCGGATTTCGTGACGATGAGTAAGCAAAGTCTCTGTGCTGATTTTATTGAAGTAAGTCGAGCATCAGAGATAGAGGGGTGGGACGGAAAATTTCAGTGAAGCGCAAAACCCAGCTACAAGTATCACAGATACGGATGTAGCACTCGCATTGGGACCGAGTCTGAGTACACTACTGGGAAACAGTACGGTAGGAACTCTGCACTAACAATGAGATGAGGCTGCTCCGTTTATACCGGAAACATAATCGGTCACCTCTTCCAGCCTCAGTCTCGGCGGGAAGTGCTGCTTGGGCCAGCGATCAAGACGTAGATGACTCCATCTTGGAGACAGAAGGGCAACGATGATCCCATGGCAGCCGGGTGGAGTGACGTCAACATGGTGGTGCACTGATGATGGCATTGGGAAAATAGTGGAATGTGACTGGAGGAAAAGCCAGCGAGTGGGCCCGACCATCTCCGTCACTGCACCGTTCAGCGTTAGGGAGTACCCAGTCTACGGCGACCCGATGACAGCACACTCAGCAGCCCTGCTTACTGCGTAAGAGTTCATTGTCATCAGTGGAGGGGACCAAACGGGGAACCTAGTAGACCCTGCAGAGAACCCCAACGTTTCTAGGTGCCTTACCTTAGTGTAAAGTGTACCTACCTGTAAGGTAGGTAGGTAAGGTAAGCAGACTCTGGAAATCAATTTGACCTCAATCCTAGGTAGTCATCCCTGCATAAGGTACGATCCTAGCCTGATGTCAGGTTGTTCATACTTACTTACGCACAGGGTGCTGCGGGGAATGCAGGGAAGCAGATCGCTGCGATACTCGCGTTGCTGCTCGCTTTCTCGCCGTCGTCTCTTCAACTTGAACTGAGGACCTAGATTCTCTATGCGGTGCTATTCGGTAAGGTAAGGTCCAGCAAATTGCGCCGACGGGGAAAAGGCCGCTCCGTGTGGGTGATGGAACGTTGCTGCCCTCCCGCCGAAAGCCGAAGCTATGGAAGTGTTCAACGGCAGCGACCAACAACAACAACAACTCAGCCACCGCGCCTGCACTACCTTACGAACCGCGTGCGAGTGGCCAGATCAAGATCAACCCACGTCTCGTTCAAGCCGAGGCAAGCCATCCTCAACCCGTTGGAAAAGAAATTCCCACTTCGAATGCAGTGTACTAGACTATGATCCAATAACCGTTCAAGTTATTGCACAAGGCCTCGTGGCATGCCACACCACCACACCACAGCCAAGGTCCCTTACAGAAAAGCTCGTTTTCCCGTATCCGTACCTGGATTTCCGAATTCTCGATCGGCTAGTACTCCGTACAGAGAGGTGCGTTCCATTGAGATTATGTCATGGGCCTCAAGTCTTAGCTAATCACAGCTTACCTAAAAACTCGGCAATCGTAGCGTCCCCTCCGCAGGCCTCCGACACGGGTGACAGGTACACTGTAAGGTACCTTACCTACCTAAGGTGCCTAGGTATCCGTGGTAGGTGGCCTCCACAACTACCTAGGTTGTTGTCCCGTCCCGATCAGGTCGTGGACAAACGTCGGATTTAGGAGTGTCCGCGTGCCCTCTTCCCCCGTCTTTCGTCATGAATCAGGGTACCTAGGTAGGTAGTTGAGCGTCGAGGGAAAACACGCCGACATCCCGACAAACCGACCTCAGCAAACACCACCCGATCATATCCGGTCTGGCTGCAATGGCGAAGACAGTAGAGAAGAACGAATTAGAATTTTCTTCCGTGATGATATGAGCTCACCCTCCGTTTTCTCCGTGGACACGGACATATGGCACACTACATTCCCGCGCTGTCGCGTACAATGAATGCATGTATGTCTGCTTTTTATGGAAGGATAGTGGATGGTACCATGTAGCCCAGCCGGCGTGTCCACCAGTTGAAAGTGTCACCGGCAGATAAGGTGGGCTTGGCGCACCTCACCCGGTATCAGTTTTCAGCGAGAGATCAGCGTGGTGTGGTGGTGTGCTGTGGTGCGGTGTGTTAGGTTGATGGTCTGCTCCTTGTTGCTGAGGTGGTGGTGTCGACTTCCATGTTAGTTTACTTGTACAAGTCTCTGCCTGCCATCACCGTTGCTCTTGTGCGCACAAGCGAGGTCAGCCCATTCGGAAATCTTTGCTCTTGAGGTAACCAGTCTGTATATAGATAGCACTGCAAGGTATGATTCGAGTTGATTCAGCCACCTTTCAAAGTCGGGTACATTTCCACAGTATACCTACCTTAAGGTAGCAACTTATGTAGTGGCTGTCGCCGTTTTTTCCCTGTCGGACCTCAACCGAGCGCATCTTGGACGTTTCCTCGGGAAACGGCCCCACTAACCCCATATCGGCATCCATGAGGTGCTCAGCAAGGGCACTTACCCGCACCTCTGCCGCTGGCAGTTGAACTGGGGCTTTGAGAGTCAGTCTCGAAAGCTGAGTCGATATGGGTGCGCTGGTTGAGCTGAGCTGCCGCCTTGTTCATCCATGCCTGCTGCCTGCCAGGCTGTTGGCTAAGATGCCGGGGGCTCGAGATCTGATGAGCATGAATCACGAGCCCGTGTATCCATTTTGATTGCGCGCGGACACCATGCCTCTAATAGAGTGTTTTGTCAGCTCTTTTCGACAGCGACGAGTGACCGAATGACTCCGGTGCACGGTGCATTGCGCTGCGCTGCGCTGCGCTACGCTGCTGTCCTGGATTCGGCCGCTCCAGTTCCCTCCAGTGAGGATAATGAGCCGTCGCTTTCCTTCCCCGTCACATGACCCTCCCGCCTTACACGAACGTACCGAGCTGCCGGGGCAAGCAGTCCGGCCGGATGCGTGAGCTGAGTGAGAGTCCCGTCTAGGACGTGGAGCGGTCTCGACCGCCGTTCTACCTTACCGGCCACAGGTGGATCGCTGCGTCCGCCGGCCGGTCCAGCCAACCTATGCTCTTGGTTCGCAGTCATGTCCGTAACTCGAGTCTCCGGCGATGACTCTTTACAACAGCACGCTATTGTGGCCTCAATCATTGATGCACTAGGTTGATGGGCCGGGTTGCTGAGAGAAACCCCATAAACGCGATACTCAAGTTGTCTCATTCGCGTATTCTGTCGTCGCCAGCCGCACACCCAGAATAGCATGCATAGCATTCGCGACCCATGATTTTGGGTTTGCGGCTGCTACCTACCTACACCGACATAATAGGTCACTCGCCGTTTTGAGTCAGCTGGGTGCGCGTCGCCCTTTGCACAGCCTTGAGTTGCGGCATACGAGTAAAGATGGACAGACAGAGACAGGCTTTGAGGCTTGGCTTGGTCACACAGTCAGGCACTTGTAAATCGCGTACGTCGCTACAGTCAATTCATTCGCGTCCGCTGACGACAGGCGCTGGCACATGTCATTTCCCTCCGGAGGAACGTTCGCACTTGTTTCTCTGGGCTTCCAAATGCTCACTCATCTGCCAGCATAGCAAATCGGAGTCTGCGCGTGTAAGCGGCCTTGAATGCGCTCAGAATGTGTCACTGTCAATGCTTCTGAGAACTAAGGTAGGTACTGCTGCGCCAAGTCAATTCCGCCGTGTTCCGCTGCCGCAGGGCGACCTAGTTGTCAATCAGTCCCATGCCGCGACAACGTCCGGAGAAAAGGGGAAAAGAGCGAGAAGTTGCCGTGCTCTGCACTAAAACCGATGCGGCAGCGACCGAGGAGCGCCGCTCGAGTGCCAACGCTGCCAAAGCCGATAAGAATACGAATAGTGGCATTGGATAGCTCATAGATGCACGTAGTGTAATAAGACGCTTCGTGCTATCCGTACAACTGCTGGGAGGACAGCGAGCAGGGATGTGTCACTGGTCAAAGACTCGAAGGAAGAATAGAAATGGAAGGGGACCAAATGAAAAATCTCGACTCTTTCTGTCATGCAGCCAAGAACAGGGGGGTTATGCAGACTGAATGCATTTTTTTTCGGCCTGGTCCTGTCTGGCCTTCGGCGACCCCATGTCCTCAGGGACTTTCAATGTCTAGAACCGATACGACGACTGTGACATTGGATGTGGGAGTCATGCGAGGCCA